GGATGCTACGTCATCGAGTGCCGCCGAAGGACTGTTCCAATCTCCAGCATACTTGGAATTCCACCGAGGCCGCGTCCTTGGTTTGGGAGAAATTTCGAGGCTGCACATGGGTAGATTCGCGTCCTTAAAATCCCCACAATGCTTTGCGCATGGGCCAATTTCCCCAAATCTGTGGCGGAAGATGTAAGGCAGGGCCTCTCATATGACGCACACTAGCTAGCCTGTTCCACTCTTCGTTTTCCGAATGGCAGGAAGTATTCTTGCCTTGCTTCTGAAGCAAGATGCTCGGCTCGGCTGTGCTACCAAGCCAGCATCCTCGCGATTGAGAAACGGCCAGGGAGAAGAGTGTCTTCACAGGTCTCACAAAAAAATCCATTAGAAAGCTGCAGCTAATTCAGAACGCTGCTGCTTGTGTCCTCACAAACACTAAAAGAGTGGATCACATCAGTCCAGTTCTGAAGTCTTTACACTGGCTTATGAAGATGTATTCTTTGATTCGCAGCCAGGAGAGAGTTAAAAAAGAGACTAATGGAGTCTCTGAAGGTTCAAATTAGTAATTTAATAAAGTATTATTGGTTGGAACAAACAGACAAGTCTTCACAGCGCCGTGAACAGAGGAAAGAGGACGAGTGTCCCCGTGCCGCGTGTGTACATGCGATTCCTGGCTCCTCTTCTCATTGGCTGCTTCGACAATGGGCGGGTCTTCCTCCCTGCTTCGTTCCTCTGGATTCATTTCGCATTGAAATAAGAGGATTTGGACGTTGTGTGTTTATTGAATAACACCACAAGCCTTTTTCTCCTCATATTCTCATTCATGACTTTTTGTTTGATACATTCTAAAAGGCTGAAAACATAGATAGCGTAAAACCGGAAGTGACGTCATGTAAACATTTCCTTCAAAATAAAGCAGTTTTAAGTTAAAACATTGTATGTGAACTTCCGGCTTTCAGAATAAAACAGCTTTAATTAAAACAGTGTATTTAATTTAAATTACGCCATATAAACATTGATTTTAATTTATTACACTTACAGTCTACCAAATAATTGATTTTAAAGTACTATTGCTGGTTTTTAAAGCACTAAATGGTTTAGGACCAAATTATATTAACGATCTCCTGCAAAAGTATGAACCATCCAGGAGTCTCAGGTCTTCTGGGACGGGTCTGCTCTCTGTTACAAGAGTCAGAACTAAACATGGAGAAGCAGCATTTAGTTTTTATGCCCCGACCATCTGGAACAAACTGCTGCAACTGTTAATACTTTTAAATCAAGATTAAAAACGTATCTTTTTGACGCGGCATTTGGATGAGTTGTTCAAATTCAAACTGCAGTTTGGCTTTGATCCATGTATTTTATACCTGTTGTGTTTATTTTATTATCTTTGCTTTTTAAAATGCCTGTTTTTAAATGCCTTTTTATAATGAGCTTCCACTGTATTTATTCTTAAACGTCTTTTATTTTATTTTGTAAACCACTTTGGGTTGCCGTGTGCTGAAAGGTGCTGTATAGGTGCCTTGCCTTGCCTTGTCTTTAACCTCTTAAGGACGACGGTCCCCCCAGTGGACCCCCCCCCACCGTTTTTTTTGTCTCAGGGTTTCTTAACATTTATGAAACTATTAATGTGTAGCACCAGATTAACGGGAAGAATCTCAGCTAACTGAAGATATGAACCATTTTTACCAAAACAAAACACAAGGGTAATACCAAGCCTCTGAATTAGCACTAAGTGAAAAAATGCTAACGCACTTTAGCACAGAACTCAAGATAAAGATACCCTTATTACTTATCGTGACTGCACATACAATCAGTGGCGACTGGTCATTAGGGGCAGGTGGGGCACAGCCCCACCTAGTGTCAGCAGAAAGTATTACAAATAATGATTACAAAAATGCAAAAAAATAAATAAAAAAATATATAAAATATATTTTAAGATCATGTTTAATCATCTGATTCGTCTGTACATTGCTGTTTTAGTCTGTGTTCTTCTAATTAGTGTGTCTACAGTCACAGTGTGTGCCTATTGAGCTGTTTAGAGCCATGTGGGACAAAACCTGATTATGCCCCTTCCTCTTGCTGTGAAGTGAACGATGACTGTAAAAACTACACTGCGCATGCTCAGAGTATTTTGTAATGTAATGTGTGTGGCAAAAAAATAATGACCAGAGGGGCACGGAGCTACCATCCCCACCATACGTCATCTCAAATCATTCAGAGCTGATTGGCTGTAAGTACGTGTGCCGCGAAAAGTGTGGTGTGTGAAGAGGAGACGAGAGAGCTACAGTGACGCGTCCTAAAACCAGGAAGTAAGCACAAAAAAGCAATGAGATTTCTCCAGAGGATTTTAGAAAATAGCTCGAAATAAGATCTGTGGGAAACGTACCTGTTAGATAAATGCACGTTTTGATTAGCCGGATAATATCCACATGTCTACCCTACTTTTATAATTTTTTTATCATAAATCTATGGATTAGATTTATGATAGACTTTTGAAACTACAAGAAGATAAGGAGGACTTTTACAAAAAAGTTATAGAAATTTTTGTCCAGAAGGATAGGCAAATGGACTTCATCTTCAAGTCAAGGTAAGACCGCAATTTTATTGAAAATGGGATCTTACTAAGAGAGAACAATTCAATATTTAAATGATAAAATTACATTTTTTGGGTATCCTTTTGTTGAACTGTCTGTTTAAAATTAATTGAAGCATCAGACAAAAAAAGCTTTTGAAAATAATATTATATTTTGGTTTAGGTCAAAATATAATATTTGTAAACCTGAAGAGTCAGTGCCAGTGCCTCACCAGCCATGAACCTCACTGCACGTCACTGCAGAAGCTTATATATAGACATCTAATTTTTTTGTGCCCCACCACTTTTGTACATATAAAAACGCCACTGCATACAATATATCCGATTAAAGCTGAGACTCCACAGATTATATAGGTATAGTATCATCACTGAGCGATCCGAACTCGCGACAGGGGAAGCAAACACAGACATCACAACACGTACCTTTACGGAGCTTTTACGGGAGATCGTCTCACCGTAGCTGTCAATCTGATCAAAAGACGTGTTCAATGGCATTAAACGAGAAAAAACGCGGCTGAATCGGTTGATCCATAGGTTAATAATGTACCTGTAGCTTTGAAAAAATTATTTATAATCCATAATTCCATTTTTATGTAAAAATCGGAGCGGAAAAGTTAGCTGCTAATGGTAGCCAACAGAGTGTATGCCAGTGGCGTCGCCTGGGGTAGGCATCCGGGGCTTTAGCCCCGGATGTTTTTTCTTTAGCCCCGGACAAATTCTCCCTCAATATAATACATTAACCGTACTTCTTTACCTATAGGACGGCAGATTTGTAATTTCCCGTGTTCAGTGAATGCAACATAGGCAAGCCAAGACACCACCAGACCAATCAGAGAGTTGCATGGAAATAAACGTGTTTTATTGGCTGACAGGTACGTACCTCTCCTCTGTGACAATGTTTAAACTTTAAACTGTCAGCCCCGGACGCGGAGATTCTGAAGATGGACATTAGACATGTTTTCAATAAAAAAGACGGCAATACTCAAGTGGTGGCTCACACAACAACCCCAGAGCCACCACCTGAGCCAGGTGAACAAGGTATGTACATGTCAGTAAACTTACAAGTTATGCGAACATGTAAGCAAAGCATAAATTACAGCTACGTTGACATTACTTTGAATCGCACGGGTAATCTAAACCGTTAGCAAGTAGCTATAGCGAGCCAGATATATTAAATAAACACTTTGTCATACAATATAAATGTTGTGTTTTTTAGCGTTACCTGGTGATTTCAAAGAAAGCTCTCTGGGAAATGTTGACTTACTGTTCGACAGGAAGCTAGAAGCTACCTTACAGTACACAGTTGATCCTGAGTCCTGTCAGTTAAAGTGTTTCATAGTTAGCTTAGCTAAGCATCAAACTAGCACTGAAATATATGGATGTTATGTGACAGTATTTCTGAGAAAATTCAGTTTAAATGGTGGCCTAGTTGCCACTGCTTTACTGTCGACAGCACGTTTGAACGTATTTGCAGCAGTAAATGTGGCTGTTTTTCCTCATTATCATGTCAAATTGTACAGCTTTCCTTAGTTTTGAATGCAGAAAGATGACTATTCGAGTATTACGTGAAAATGACTATATTTAAGTGTTAAGTAAATATATTAAGTGAATTACTCAAACTGCATTTGTATAGGAATGATTCTCTCCTATTGGCAGATAACTACTAACAGTGATATCTACTGTACAAGAGGTTTCCAATGTCAATTTAACTATTTTCAATTGGTTAGTATTATATTTTGTGACAGTGTGGTGACACTCATTTTAATGAAGACAAATTTGTGTATCTTGAAATTCATTTATTTGACAGAGCTGGAAACTGATTTTAAATACTTGTTTGTGTTTACCTACACAGTCATCACAGATGAGCCAAAAATAGTAGAGGATGAAGAAAGGAGAACAGGAGAAAGGGACACACAAGAAGGAGATACAACAGATAAGAACAACAATGAACAGGAACATCAGAACAGACAAGAGTCAATGGGTAACTGGGTAACTGATTTAGGGACTGCAGATACAGGGCCAAGGCAAGTGAGACATCACTGTTTTCCATCCGGCATGTTTGGCCAGCAAAAGAGATCATTTCAACCAAGTTGGTTTGATACTTTTAAATGGGTTGAATATTCTACCACTGCCAATGCAGCATTCTGCTTTAGTTGTAGACTATATGGCAAACCAAAGCAATCAAGGGATCAAAGGGACACCCTCACCACCTCAGGATACACAAACTGGAAGCGTGCATTGGATTCTTTTCGAGAACATGAAAATTCAAACATACACAAGGCTCTTCTTTCCAGTTCTCGACAGAATGCTGGAGGAGCTTCAAAACAGGTTTTCTGGAGTTGGGGAAAAAATATTAATTGGCATACAGGCATGTCACCCTCCATGGGGAGGTCGTCGACCGATTTGCGAAGGTCAAACCAAGGCGATTTAGCCGAACACTTCCACCTACAAAACAATAAAGAGTGTGAAGACAGCGAGTGATGATGGGGAGAAAAAACGAAGCAAATGAAAGGTAATGTGATGAAGGAAGCAGCAAGTGAGGAAGGAAGCAAGTGATGAGGGATTATTATTTCCTCCTTCCATCCCTTTTTTCAGTTTAATCTCATTACTAACAACTTCTAATAATTTGACATAGTTTATGATTTAATTGGAAAATCAAGTGTTTTTAAATAATAAACCTGTTTCTGATTCTGATTCTTTGATTTTTTTTGACATATGGGTGTTGAGAGATGTATAGATCTCTTAATGTTGCTCTCAAAGTGCACCAGATTGATGCTTTTAACTTCAATATTTAAAAAAAATCTTCCTGGGGGAGTTCCCCCCAAAAATAGTACTTTACCTCTGCTTATGTAACTCCGGTGTAGTGTCCCCTCGGCAACAGATCACTCACAGTTGGTGATTACTTTCCTGCATTTCAATGGACAGCATATAAAAAGGACACGTGAGCTTCATTGCTTAAGAGATCCTCACATGCCATCTCTTTAAAAAAATAAGTGTCCAGTCAACAACAAAACATCAGTGATCGTATAGTGGTAGTATATTTTTCATAAGCAATGTGAAACATTAAACTTTAAAAAACTGGTGTACAAAACTCACATACCTGCGTTGATCTCCTGGAGTGTCTCTACTCTTTCTTCTCCACCATTAGAGATTGCAAACATTTCAGAAACAGCTAGAGGTAGGGGACAAATAACTTGTTCGCTGGGCATGTCAAAAACCTCCCTGCTTTGATCAAGACTTTAGGGAGCCTTTCAGCCCCTCTGGCAAAGGGGCTGGAAAGCAAGTTTTGCAAATGCAGTACCATCTACATGCTTGTCCTGTTCCAGACACTGCTCTCAACCACTCAGGGCCTGCACAAATACCTGCAGAAAGAAACAATTGACTTGGTGCAGGCAGTAAATTACAAAACAGCAGTTGAGAACACACTGAAAAGTTACAGAAGTGACGAGAAAGCAAGACCAAGGCCCTGTGTAATGATCTTGATATTCCCGAAACTGTGACACAGAGGAAGAAGCGTAGAAACATGGAAGACTTTGTAGTCGAGGCATCGTGTGGAGCACCTCTCCCATTAGCTTATTAGCTCAGATTAGCTATTGATGATCACGTTGATAAATCATATAAAACCAATAGCCAAACACACAAAAAACATGCTGCTGTGTGAGCATTAAACGATTAACATTAAACTAAACAAACACAACAAAACGTTCTAGTCCTTATAAAATAAAAACATACATTTTGTCCACCAAAATAATACAGGCACCTTACCCTCGAGAGATCCTCACATGTTATGAGAATCTCCCACAATCCATTGCCGTAACAAAGCTAATGCAGGCACACGTTTGTTTGTGACACCAGATGGCGTAATTCTTCTTCTTCTTCTTTTATTTAATGGCGAATCGCTTTCCACTTGGAGCATATATCGCCACCTCTGGCGTAACCCGAATTAATTCTCCGATTTAACAAGGATTTTATACCACCTTTATAACTCTGTACACACACGACACACCTATATGTCGTGAGCTGATTATCGAGCCTTCATTGTAACAGATCTGGTAGGCCACCACGTTATTCTTTACTTTCTACGTCTTTATATGGAGAAGATATTACTTTTTTCTCCGTCATGTTGTTTCCATAGCAACAACAACTTCCTGTCAACAGCCAACGAAAAGTAACAAAAAACACTGTAATATCCTTTTCAGTTTCACAGAACACAAATTGGGTTATTTACATAATGTTTACAGTACTGTTTATTGTTATTTTGTAATATTCTTTGCGGAATTTGGCCATGTAAAATGTCCTATTGGGTTGCTGTACAGCCAATGCGTGACGTCATTGGTAAGCGGCGTAACGAACCCCGAACAGATTCTGGTACCTACACCGCCACTGTGGGCTCAGCCCCGAATGTTTCCAGGTCCAGGCGACGCCCCTGGTGTATGCAGCTTCCGGTTTTGGCCACGCGTCACTCTCACTCCTTATTTGTTAACGTGTTGGTGTGTATAGAACTTTCCCTCGATTCCATTGGCTCTAGCGGTTATAAAGAGATTTCATTCATCAAAATCGACCAAGGGGGGCCAGAGATATGGAAAATCCACCCAAATGATCCCAGAAGTGGGTTTTCTTTGCTAAATCTCTCTAAAAAGGTCAAATTTCACTTTTTTTGCATCAATCTTGATGCAGGGTACTTATTATATGTTGTACTTTGGATTCCTAAAGCTCAATCTGAATTTTCTTTAAAATAAAAAACATCTATACTGATTCTGACTTTTCTACATCCAACTCACAGGTTTATCATTACTTTGAGAACAAAGATTATTAATTTAACCCTTTTAGAAGGGAAGATATGGTCATTTGTTCTGGGAATGTCATTTTCGAGCCTGAGACCTGAAAAACAGGCTCAGGGTGGAACAGGTTAACAGGTGGCGAAAACCGGGGTTCTCCACGACCGAATAAGGACGTAGGTCCTTCGCTATGAAAGCTGCCACAGACTGGGTGATTTTCTTCCCTTTCTCAGAGTTGGGCGGCAGAGTTGACAGCGTCTCATCAATTCTTGGCTTGGCTGGGTCCGCTGTTTCCTTAACGGTGGCAGGCGTTAGCTTCTCACAGTGAAAACGGCTAAGGTGGTTCCTCAAGTTAGTGGTATGTCCAAGATATGTTATTTTTGTGTGACAAACTTTACACCTTGTCCAGTTCCTTCTTCCCTTTTAGTTCATAAAACCCATAATGGGTCCAGATTGTCTTTTGGCTCCTCTCCAACTTTGCCTTTTTTCGTATTTTTGTAGTGTTTATCTACTTTTTGCCGTTTGCTTTTAACATGGTTCGCAACATGCAAGCCGACCGCACCAACTCTGCTATACAATATAGCAGAGAGGAACTTCTTCACATCAGAAACTTTGTGGACAATAGCCCACCGACAGACAATGGAGATTCGCCAGCATGGCTGCCTCCTGGTGTACTACCTGAGAGACGCTGGTCAGACTGAGAAAACGAGAAAACCGACCCCCTCTTCCGAGTATTCTTCTGGCTAATGTTCAATCGATTGAAAATAAGCTACATTAACTCAGAAGTCGGATTGTTCAACGGGACATTAAGAACTGTAACGTGTTCATTTTCACTGAGACTTGGCTCCACCGCTATCCCGGTGAGTGAGCATCCTGAACTTGTATTTTCTGAGGTATTTGTTCAGAGCCCTTAAATCCAGGATAGGGCGAATTCCGTTCCCTCCCCGTTTGGGGACGAGGAAATACCTGGAATAAAAGCCGCTCTGACTCTGTTCGGGGGGCACTATATTTATGGCCTTTTTTTCTAACAGCGAGAAAATCTCCTGCTCTAGAATACGGGCCGTCTCTCCCCGGGCTTGTGAATGCACAATGCCCGAGAAGTGAGGGGGGGTGACTGCTGTCGGGGCTGGGGACTTCCTTGGCCAGCTCGTCCTCGCCTCATGCCTGGGTGGGTTTTGAACCGGGGCGGGATGTGGCTTTGGCCGTTTCGGGATCTTAAACTGGGAGGGTCACGAGGCAACCTGAGCGAAGGTCTGTCGCGGGGCCGTCGGAGGCGGCGGCTGGACCTTCCGGGGAAGACAGAGCTGGAGAGCCTCGTCTTCTCTCTTTTTGGCCTCACACCGCTGCTGCATCGAAGCCAGAGCGGTGCCGAATATGCCTTTGGGGACAATTGGCATGTCCAAAATGTCCTCTTTCTCCCTGTCTGGTAGGTTCGTCATGTTAAGCCACCTGGCTCTCTCCTGCACTACCATGATCCCAAGCGATTTACCCGTGGCTTGGACCGCACAGCGCTGCACGCAGAGGCAAATGTCCGTGATCGCGGTAATCTCGTCCCACACAGCAGGCTCAGGTTTATTCGCCATGTCCTCGCACAGCTCTGCTTGGTAAGCAGTCAGCATTGATGAGACGTTGAGTGCCCTGACAGATAAAGCCGCTGCTTTGTAAGCCGTTCGGTCATTGCTGACTGAAAACGATCCGCTTTTGCCGGCAGTGTGGGGCTCCTATTGGACGCCGAAGACAGCCGCGGTTGGAGGTGGGCTGCGACTAGCGGCTCCATAGGAGGCATGCGAAGCAAGCCGAGTTTCTCCATGCCCTCAAATTCCAGAGAGGAAGCTCCTTGGATCGGGGACTTATTTCTGAACGGGTGGTCCCTCCACGAGACAGACACCTCGTCCAACAGCTCCGGAAAAACTGGGAGAAGCTATCTTGCCATCTTCGCAGCCTGGGGCAAATTCTTCCCTTCGTAGCGAGATCTGGTGGTCTCCTTTACTACTTCAGGCCAGGGGATGTCCAGCCTGGATGCAGCGCGTTGGCACACGGCTTGCAAATCCATGCTGAGACTGGGCTAAGCTGGTATGCTTTCTCCCGGAGGGGCAGACACAGCATCAGGCTTGGCAGCCTGAGCGGATGAAATGAAGATATCGTCCTCATCCTCGTCTGAGTCGGATATGAGAAACTCCGAGGTACCCTCGTCGTCATCCTCCATATAGTCCAACTCCAAGACGTCCTCCACAGGCGGCGCCACGATGAGGTCCAGCTGGGAGCCCCAGCTAGACTCAGTGCAAGTCTCAGCCTCAGCTCACGGCTCAGCCTCCGCGGCGGCTTCCCCCATGTCTCGGTTGCCGGCCGGCATATCGCTAGACATGAAAGGGTCTCGTCCCGACAGGCTAGCTTGGCGTGCTAGCCGTCAGTGGATGCTCTTGACGGTGAAGCGGGCACAGTGTCCGCACGAACCGGGGGCGTCGATAGCTTTCCGGGCATATTCCAGCCCAAGGCAGGACGAGCAGACCTGGTGTGAGTCCGTGCTCGATATTTTATACCCGCAGCCGCAAAGTCTCCGTCTCCTCTGGTGTGAGGGAGAGAAGGGTCCATCCTTGATAGTTGGAGTGCCGACTTGGAGGGACGGAACAATAACTGGTATGTTACTGTTCAGAAAATAATCAAAAATCTTACCGTTAAAAAACGGCGGGGCAGAATCGAGTATTAGCTGGTGTGCTAATATTCAAATCTATGCGAAGCAAGTGTAGCCGGCAAGCGTCCGGCGACCGAAAATTTGCTTAGAGTGGTACAGTCTATGGACAGTTAAGCTAGCCAGGCTACTGAGAATTTAGAGATGTGCTCCGAAGCGAGAAGAGGTGTTTGAATGACGCTGCGTCGTAGCGCAAGCTACTTAAAGGGTGGGTGGATTCCCTGACGTAGTCGTCAAGATCACCAGCCAATCAGGATTGGCGTAATGAGATTGATGCTTCTGAGGCATACGCGGGGAGGCGCATCCCATAGTGAGACATTGAAACGAATGTTATGAATGAGAACTGTTTCCTGAGTTTGAAGTTGCTCTGTGTTGTAATGTCCCTGTCATCTTCATCAAAGACAGAGATCACCAGCAGCCAGAGCACACCATTACTGATGCAGCACACACTATGTATCATTTAATTTGATACATAGTGTATCAAATGGATACACTATGGCTCTTTTGAAGTTTCATTCTCTTTACTGGGAGTCCTTACTGTTTGTGAGGAGGAAAAGCTCTGTGTTGGGGTTAGCTGCATCAGAATCAGAATACCTTTATTAGTCCCACAGAGGGGAAATTTACGAAGGGAATATTTGCATGAAACCCTAAGACCCCGCTTACACAAGGACGATACGGGTTGTATCTGCATAGTTTCTCTTGCGTATAGCCCTTTCGTTTACACGAGGCCGTAACAAGCGATAGAAACAGGCCCCCGCAAACGATAACGGGGCCCAAGGTGGATAGATCTGCAAACGGAACGCTCTGGGGGGGGGGGGCAAACGGCTCTGTGTGTAAGCCTCTTTACGATCATTTTCTGATAACGATGAAATCGCCCCGCCTCCCTCTCCCCACCTCTCCTGCTCAGAGATCAGCTGCTGGGCTGTCAGAAGAGGGGGAGGAAAGAGAGGCTCCGTTTATTATTATTATATTATTATATAGAGTCGTTATCAATTTGTTTTAAAGCTCAATAAATAACAAAGAAGACCTCTGACCGGCACTTTTCTAATTTTGTCCGGAAGATTTCAACTTTAACGGACATGTTGACCGGCGAAAAAAAAATGTTTAACGGAAACTCTGCCGCATGGTTTCCCTCGTCCCTTGGAAGAGGCGGAGAGGTGGGTGTTTTTCATCTGCTGGTGGACTACCGGAGAGATTTACAGCATGAGCACACGCCGTCCACCGTGGAGA